CCAATTAAGAAGGCATTGGTTCTTTCAGTCATCAGAGCCATTGATGCGCATAACACGGAGTATAATGGCCCTCCTGCCTTACTGCCAGCCACACGGCCATAAAATCTAGGGCCGCGCGGCCGGCGCGACGCGACGAGGCAGGGCGAGCGCAGCGGCGGCCGGCGCGACGCGGGACGGCGGCGGGCGCAGCTCGTAGCGCTAGAACAAAGAGTCCGTTGCCGCGGCCCGTCGCCTCGTGATGACCCTCTGAAACGTCCCGTCGGCGTTTCTCCTGTGGCTAGTATTTTCGGGTCGCACCACTCTCCCCAGCTTATTTTTTAGCTTCAGAAAGGAGACGACATATATATAAGCAGACGAGACCAACAGCAAGTCGCCAGTAGTCAGTAGCGACGAAGACCGACAACACGTCCAAGCCTAGGGATCTACCTGAGGTGCGTCTCTGAGACCAACAGCAGCGCCAACCGCAGTACCCTGTGCGTCCTCAAAACGATGCAGCCCACGATGCTAGCCGCCGTGCTTCTGCCGGTCACCCTGTCCGCGCTCTGCCCCTGCCCGTCGTCGCCTACCCCCGAGGACTCCCCCGTGTGCGGCAGTGACGGCCGCACGTACTCCAGCGAGTGCGAGCTGCAGTGCTTGGCCTGGAGTTCCAGTGTGAGGCCAGCTCTGCAACTAGTCGTGTTGCCCGCAGGACTTTCTGTCGCCCACCCCGGGCCATGCGCCCCGCCGGAGGCCGCCGCCGGCCGCCGCCGCCGCTACGTCGTAGGGTATCAGGAGTGGAGTAAATGTCACAAGGAACGTCAGGTGAGTCTGCTCGTCCTGAGTGAGGAGGCGGGTCTCTTTGACCCACTGACTGACCCCGTGCACCTTATTGCAGTGCGGCTATCCACAAGACGGGAACTGCACCGAGTGCGGCGAGGGCGACGAGAAGTGCAGGACAATGTGCGGCTGGAACTGCAGCTGCGGCTGCGCGGGGCTGCCGACGGGCGGGCTGGACGAGTTCTCGCACTACTGGTGGAACAGGTGCTACTGGGAGAGGGGATGCACTGAGAATAGAAGGGACTTGTGCGTCAGCAACTGCGACAGCGAGTTCTGCAGGAACTTGTGCCACATGGATTGGGAGAGGTGCAGCTGTGGCTGCGTACAGCACGCGGCGGCCAGAGTCGGCTCGACTACTTGGGAAATAAACGGCCTGCATCGAACGAACAGGTGAGACATCCGTAGGGAGGGAGGGAGGGAGGGAGGGAGGGAGAATGGGAGGGAGACTAACTGACGCTTGCTCCGAATTCCAGACTGCGACCGCAGCCGCAGCATCGACGGCTGACCAGGGACCAGGGTGTGACTCCCCAAAGGCGACCTGGAGACGTCCGACCGGGCTGAACGGAAATTCTTTGAGGGTGAGGTCGGGTGTCGGGGGCGGCCACCTCGTGGAGTGAAATAGAAAATAAATACATAAAGAGTAAGAAATAAATTGCCGACTTCATATTTTAAAATGTTCTTTCACATTATTTGCTACATTTCGCAGTATTTCCCTGCATCCCTTTCAAATAATAAAATTTCAACTAAGTAAATAAATCTGTCACGTCGAGGGCAATTTTCCCCGCAGCAGGCGTGTTCCAATACACCGTCATATGTCCGCCTGTCCGTCACCCCCTCCCGGAGCGCAGCCAGACGAACACACAAATTAAAATTAGAAGAACGACTGGGCGAGTGGAATGAGGAGGGACAAAACGAAACAAGTGTCGTCCGGGAGCATCACGGTTATCATTTACACCGCAAAGGGAACGCGGCAAAGTCAGATAATCAGACTGAGAGAAGAAGAAGAAAAGGAATGGAGAAAAAAGCGGGGCGAAGACACAAGACTGAGCAAATGCAATTATCATCGCCAAGACGCCGAGAAAAATATAATATACCGAAGGGAAAAGTTGCAAATTACTCAAATTGAAAGGAGGCCGCTTTCATACACAGGAGTTGTTGTTGGTCCGTTCGACTTGAAAGGGGGTAGGGTAGAGAGACGCACCGAGACTGGGCGACTAATTCAATTATTAAGTGGACAAGAAGAAAAAACTGAAATAAAGGAAGGAAAAAATCTTGAGTTGTGCTCCTCCTAATACGCGCGCCCGAAAAATGCTAATGATAGGCAGCCAAGTGGACAAGGCGATGGGGGAGGGGGGAGATTTGAAGCGGGCGATGGTCCGTTTCTGGGTCAATGGAGAGTATTTAATAGCGTAGTAACGACCTTGTCGCGCAGGGGAGAGAGGAAGAGACAAGAAGAGAAGGGGAGAGAGGGGGAGAGACGGGAGAGAAAGAGAGAGAGAGAGCGGAAGGGGCAGAGACTCGACCGCAACGCGGTGACCAATCAGAGTCTGTAACGAGCGACAAATTAAAGAAGGAAGAGTGGGCGCAAAGCCACACCCCGACCGGCCCGCCCCAGGCCGAGATGGATACGGGGAGCGGGGCGGGAGCTGGACGTGCAGAATATACAGTCCGCAATGTGAACGCTTTCCAATTAAACGACTTGAATGGGTTTGCTGGTGGTGGGAAACAAGAAATCGTCCGGCGGAAAAGAAAACGAGGAGAGGGAGAAGGAGGGGGGGGGCGTTTGGTGGGCATTGCTGTCGTG